TTCTTAGTGTAGTGCTTTAACCCGCTAAGCCACCAGGGAGGGCCCAGGCTAATTGACTTTTAATAGTGTTGTTGATGTGTTCCACTAAACCAGATAATTGAAGATGATAGACACAACGAAAACGTTGCTGTAACACTGGCCATAAAAGTACAGACTTGCTGGAACACCTGACCAATCACTGTGGTATTCAAGAAGAGTTTCTTAGGTAGGCATAATCTTTTCCAAAAGGACCTTGGCCACAGAAGCAGTAGCCTGTTTATAAGGGGAAGCATCGATCCAATGAGAACACATACAGATCATAATGAAACCATATTTCTATCCATGAGCAAGAAGTAACTGTATGAAACTCAATAGTCAGACATCAAATGGGCCCAGGGGCAATGTAAAGTGTCCAGGGGCTATGGGAACAGATTCCATAGGTTGTATTTTAGGCAGATGGGACAAGCAAGGTAGGTAGATTTTTGTTGTTTGTTTTTAGATTTATTTATTTATGCACTTAGAACTGGGGAGGTGCAGGTGTGGTAAGAGATTTCACCAGAGACAGTGGGGAGCAGAGCAGGCCGACTGACCAAGTGCACTGCTGAGGGGAGCAGTGGGTGCGTCTGGAGAGGCCTGCCGTGCCATGCGGGTCACCTCCCTGGCCAGGGATGGCTCTCGTGCTGAAGCAGCTGTGGCTAGCTAGCTAGCTTCGTAGTGCTGTGCTTTAACCCATTGCACCACCAGTGAGGACACAAGGTAGGTCGTTTTCGCAGCTTTATTAATGCTTCCCCACAAATATTGATTTACAAAATATTAATCAATTTTAGGTGGACCAATGGTTAAGTACATTTTTGGTAGCCAGGAGTGGATTTAAAAGTCTCTAGTAAGACTGTGTTGTTATTTGGTCCAAACAGTGTTTTCTCCTAGTTGTCGTGCCAACAGGTTACTGAATTTACACTCTGGATTTCTCTTTTCTGAGACAACTTTCTTCAGAAAAGTAGCAAGGTGATTTCTCTTTGCTTGTGGAGAGTAAAGTTTGAAATGTTCTGGTATCTTAATAATAATAACCAAAGCTGCAGGTAAAAGTACAGCTTCCAACTATTCCTGACCATATGGAACACTTTTGGTTTGATATCCACTGAAAGTAAGGGAATTCCATTGTTTCCACAATATTCCAAAGTAATGATCCACTCTGAAAGCACGTCTCGTATTACTGTAAATGTTGGCAGGTTTGTCCTTGGCCAGGGTACAGTGACGCATGTAATTCAGCTTTCTGAGCTATAGTGGTTAAAAGGTAAAATGCCACTTAACTACATACAGGTGATATATATCCAGCATAACAACACTCCCCTTTCCACCTTTCGCATACAAACCATTGGAGAACCATGAGATGTCTTCATTCTGCAAAGTATTCTCTTGCAGATTCTCATGAGGGGTCAGGAGATGATCCATTAATGTCAGGAAGTTATATAGTAACTTGATTAGTAACAGAAAGGAAAAGGTGTCTGAGACTTTGTCCCTGATCACGGATTATTGGGGGGCAGAACAGGCAGGGTCTCAAGGTGGAAATGGCTTCAGCGAGTGGAGACTCCTAGAAAAAGGGGGAAAAGGAAAAAAGGGGAGCAGGCGCGAGGAAGATGCGGGAATGGGAGTTGGGGGCAAGTCTTCCTGCTCTGCCTTTAGCAGAGGTTTATTTAATACACTTCAGGCAGGCCAGAGGGATCACAATCACCTTTTTGCTAAGAATAGTCTGGGGTCGTTTTTGACCTTCAGTTGAGATTATAACATTTTAAAAGTCAATCTATCAAGGTTAAAACAGGTACATAGATTCACAAAGTTTAAGACTAATATTACTGTATTTACCACAGTGAAGATTAACCAAAATAAAGTCCCTTAAACATTATCTATTACTCAAAGGCTTTCATTCTCATAGAGACATCCTAGGGGGTAAAGTAAAGTGAGGGCAGGAAGAGGAAATTTCTTGTAAATCAAATTAAGATAAGGTTTTTTTTTAAAAAAAAAAAAAACTTATTAGAAAGTTCAAGGAGTTTTCTTGTAGTCTAGAAGGTAGAAAACCTGATTAGCTCTGCATAGGCGACTTGGGTGAATTTCTATATCCAAAGACTTGATAGAAGAAAGCTTGAGTGGTTATTTAGAAACTGAATAGAAGGCTAAGTGAGATAGAGTGATAAGATTTGGGTTTTCCTCAGTCTCGCAGTGAGAGACTTTTCAGTAACAGCCATTT